CGGGAGCTAAACATGCCCCCCCGTACCTCCCCCTCCTCCCCCCTTCAGCTTCCGTCCCCTGAGGGGGCCAAGGGCTTCAAAGGCTCCCTCGCCTCCCTCTGCACCCAGGCCGGCCCCTGGAGGCCCCCAGGACCTGGGTTGGGGGGCAGGGGGGGCTAATGCAGCAGCAGAGAGGAGGCAGCAGCCCCAGCCCGGAGGCGAAGAAGGCCGGCAGGTGCCCAGGCCTCCCTCGGCTGGGCCCCTCGCCTCCCCTGCCCGGGGAAGACCGAGCCTCCAGCCCAGGTGCTCTCTCCGCCTCATCCCACCAGCGCCCGGTCCAGCTTCCCTGCAGCAGCCCCCCCCACACTCCCTCCAGAAAGCCCCTCCCCCATTTAGCTCCCCCCAGGCACAGGCCTCCCTGCCTCCCCCAGGCTGGCCAGCCAATCAGGCCCCAGGGATTCCGGATCCCAGGGAAATCCATCCGAGGAGCCATCCTGGCTCTGCTGCGGCTGCACCCGGGACGAGGCTCCCTAATGCCCTGCCCGGCTGGCCTCGGCGCTTCCCCCTCTGCGGGCCACCCGGCCGGGGAGAGAGGCTGTCCCGGGGCAGAAGCCATTGTGAAGTCTGGCCAGAGCCCCCGTCCCCCCCACCACTCGGCCAGCAGGCCCGAGGGAGCTGGGAGTGCAGAGCTGGGCGGAGCGGTGGCTCTTCTGGACACCAGGCAGCCATGGCCGTGGCCGGACGGTGCAGCCTGGGACCACCAGCCTCTCGCAAGTCAGCTGCCAAAGTGGGGATCAAGGCCTGCAGGATGGGCCCCCTCCGGTCTCTCCCTCCCCTGCACCGTTGCACACCCCCCCCCAGGCTGCCCAAGAGGCCCAGGGAAGAGAAATAGCCCCACCCCCCACCCCAGCCTGCACTTGTCACCTTTCCCAGCCAGTCGGCCTGCCCTGGGACCGCCCCACATTCTGCCCACCTGCCCGGCCCAGCCGAGTGGCTGCAAGGCACCCCCGGCAGAAGCAGCCTCTCCGGCCTCAGGGAAGTCAGGGCAGCAGTAAAGGCCCGGTCCTAAGGCCAGGCAGGAGCAGGGCTCCCCCAAGCTCCACCCACAGCGGGTCCCCACGGGAGGAATCGCCCCACGTGGCCCCCACCCCATTGAGCCTGGCAGCCCAAGGGAGCTCCATGCTGAGGCAGGGACCGGCTCTCCTGCCCCCAGGGAAGCCCCACAAGGCCAAAGACGTGGCCCCCTTGAACCCCAACACCCCCACTTCCTTCCCGGCCGAGGCAGGTGCCCCCGCCTCGCCCCCTCGCCCCTTGCCTCCCAGGAGAAGCAGGGTCCTTCCTTCCAGAGGCCTGTGGGGGGCCAAAAGTGTCCCTGCAGCTGCCATCTCCCTACAGGCCCCCCCCATGCAGATTATGCACCCCCCCTCCCAGACCCAGACCTGCCAGTGCACACAGTGCCCCCTCTGCTTTGCCCTCCCCATTTATTCCCTCCTCCCCCCACAGTTCCCTGCAGGCCAAGCGCCACTGCGCCCCCCACCCCACCCCAGCCCCAAGGCCTCAGCAGGTCCTCTCTGACCAAAAGGGAGACAGCCCCCCCCCCCCCCCATGGGTAAAAAAGGGGACTAGGCCCTTTGCTGTGCTCAGCTGGGGGGGGGGGGGGGTTGAGGCTCCTCCTGCTCCTGCGTTACAGGGGGTCCCGGAAACAGGGTGGGGCGGGGGGAGGCTGAGGGTCTTGCTGCAGGGCTGGGCTGCTGCCACCAAGCCAGGATCACAGGACACGGCCCTCGGCACGGAGATTGGCAAGGCGCTCCACTTCTGCTCCCGCCAGGACCTGACCCGCTGACCCGCCAGAGATGGAGAGCTCGGCCCATTCTAGAAGCCGGTCCTGGGCGGCTCCTGGAGCCCCTTCTACAGCCCCTGGCTGCTCCCCCTTCAAAAGCCCCTTCCCCACTTTGCAGGGGGTCTTTTGGAAAGCTGAGGGAGGGGCTTCGTTTGTAAACCTGGCTGGAAACTCTGGGGTCCTTGGCCTGCCAGGTCCAGCCAACCCCCACCGGCTGCCTCTCGACCACTGCCCCACCCGTTGGGCACCGCTCCTCCTGCCAGCAGCCCAGCAGGGTCCCCTGCACTGGGAGGGGGGGAACTGGGTGGCAGCAAATCCCCAGCAGGTCAACTGAAGTCTCGGACCGGAGGCCCTCAGCCCGCCCAGCGCTGGGCAGACCGGCTCTCTCCTCCCACACACACACCCTCCCAGCTCTCACACCACCCTGGTTCCCCACTGGCTGCAGCGGAGTGCAGGAGGGAGGCAGGCCAACGACCCCTGGGGCTCCTCCCCACCACCACCACCCCCGATGTCCCCCCCAAGCTTCCTCTACCCTCCATAGCATTGAGTGCTCCACTTTATTTCTTCCAAAGGAAATTCCAGGCAGGACGGTTTGTGCCGCAGCCCCCATAAGAGTCCAAGAGCAAAACTGCTCTTAAGGCGCCCGCTGTCCAAGATTTGGCATCCGCGCCCCCTGATGCCAGCTCTGCCGGGTCCAGGGTTCCACTGCCAGCCATTCTCTGGATGCCGCTCGGAGGCCGCCTGGCAACGAAGGAAGCCCGGAGGACTCCAGAGCGCCTTTGGTGAGGGCCTTCCTAAAAGACGGTGCCGGCTTCTGCGGCTGCGCAACCCTTTTGCCCGGCCCGGGGGGGGGCCTCGGTGTCCCGGGGGGGGCCCTTCCCGCCCAGCTAGATGAGTGTCAGGTGCTTGTCTGGGGGCAGCCCGTACTTGGCCTTCTGCTCCTCAAAGAGCTGAGTCAGCTTCTCCAAGTACGTCTCGTGCAGCTCATCAATGGCCTCCCGCGACGGGTGGGGCATCCTGGGCACCGGAATCGGAGCCCCCACTGAAGGCAGCCAAGGCATGAGAAATGGAAGAAAGAGGCCAATGAGCCCTCCGGCTGCCTCCAGGAGCAGGGAGAAGCAAGAGAGGAGGCCAAGGGGCGGCAGAGACCCCGGATCGTCCCTCTTGCAGCCGGGAAGTCAACCAGCCGCCCCCTCCTCCCAGCGGCCGTAGCCCCTCCTTCCCGAGGAGGCCCTGGGGAGGCCTGGACTGAGCTTGGTCAGCAAGGGAGGTCAGCAGCAGCCTTCTTCCGCCCATCGGCCAAGAGCCTCAGCCCAGCCAGGCCAGGGGGTGCTACGTGGCCTCGGGGGGGGGGGCTCACACCCCACGGGACGGAGCATCTGCTGGAAACTGCCAGCCGCATCAGCACTGCCCCTTCGTGTGGGCAAGCGCCAGAGCCGCCCTCTGCCACAGCATTGCAACACAGCATCTCTAGCCCCACCCACCTCCCCAAGCAAAGTCCAAGGCTGCTGCCCCGCTGAAGGGCTGGCTCCGAGGGGGTTGCAACACACAGACCAGCCGCTGGCTGTTGCATCACCAGAGGGAGGCCGCTTGGCTGACTCCAAGCTCAGGGAAAGGCTGGCCTGTCTGGGGGAAAGGCCTAGCAGCCAGGCAGTTGCCCACGGCCGATGGGATCCAGGCGGTCCCCGGCCACTGAGCAGCCTGGCATCCTCCGGGAGCCTCAAGCCGCAAGAGGCCCGCTCACCCACTGTGTAGATGGGTCTCCGGAAGGGCAGGAGGCCAAAGCTGTACTGGAAGATGCCTCGAGCGTGGAAGAGGGGCAGGGCCAGCCCCATGGCCTTCTGGAGCCGCTCCTGCAGCCTGCGGACGATGGAGCCTGGCAGGTTGGGCACTTGGTTGAAGAGCTCGTTCTCCCCGAAGGAGAAGACGGGCACCAGCGCTGCTCTGCAAGGAGGAGGAGGAGGAGGAGGAGGAGGGAAGAGCCTGCTGGTTGGCACCGGTCCCGCCCCCCACCCCCTCCGGGGCCTCCCATTCCTCACCCCCGCCGCCCAGGGCTCCCAGAGGCCCCTCACCCATGTTGCAGGGCCATCTTGATGAAGCCTTTGCGGCTGCGTAGCTGGAGGGTCAGGGCCCCCGGGCGAGCGTCCAGTGACTCAGGTGGGCCCCCCACGGCAATGACCGCCACCTGCCCGCCGCCTTCGTGGCCAAGGAGGTGGGAAGCGCTGGCCTTTTCCGAAGAGACCAGTCCTAGAAGGGAAGGAGCCGAGTGGCTGAGGGCCCCCTCGCTGCCTCGCAGCCCCTCCGTGCCCACCCTGCCCGCCGAGAGCTCACCTCCGCTCATGATGTAGTCGCGGAAGAAGGGGACCTTGAACCAAAAGGGCAGCATCAGGAGATGCGGGGTGAGCCCCGGGAAGAGCCGCGAGAACCCCGTGGCCTCGGTGCAGAAGTTCCCAAAGGCCCCGGCCACCAGGACCCCGTGGGGGTGGAAGCCAAAGAGGTAATTGTGGGAAGGGTCCAGCTCTGCCGTCTTCACCAGCTGCGGGGGGGGAAGGGGGGGAGTTGGGGGGGGGGAAGCAGAGCAGAAAAAGCCAGAGGGAGATGAGTGCTCAAATTCCTCCGGTGTCCTGGATCAGGATTGGAGGCCGTGGCCCCTCGGGGGACTCACCCTGCGGCTCTCCACCCTGGGCGACCCCTGGGGAGCTGCCAGGGCTCCAAGCCCCAAAGGCTGAAAGGGAAGAGATTCCCCCAGGCAGGGAGACTGACCGGGCACAACGCCCAGGGCTGGCGGGTGGGGTGGGGGGACATGACTCTCCCTCTAGGAGCGCTTGGAAGGCAGCTGAAGTTAGCAGACTGAGTGGGCTCGGTCTTCGCCCCCACCCCCACCCCCACCCCCGCAGAAGGGTTCAGAATGGAGCTGGCAGTTAAAGAAAC